AGTATTGGCTAGTCATGGTGCAAAAAGAAACAACCTCCAAATCTCCAAATATATCTTTGCCACTCACTCTAGATAACCAAAATAAGTCTCTTAAGAATTTTGATCATTATAGTCACTCAGAAAAGCGAGCTTCATTATAATACATTCACCCATTACTCCTATGGTAGGAAGAAAAAGAAGGGAACAAATCATGCACTATCAATTCTCCCCCAGAGCATAACATTTTCATTGATCAAACCAAATCCAGAGGCCATACACAACTCTAGAGAAGAGGATTACGATCCTACTACCCAGAACTCAAGAAGAAGAAAGCTAGAAATATTAGGTGAGCCATATTACTTGCAAGCAATTTTATTTTCTAGCCCTTTCTAGAAATGGCTAGCAAAAATAAAATGCAACAAAGGGATAAACATTCAGTTATAAGCAAGAATATATGCGAGTAGCAAAATGTCTCATAAAATATATGTTACTGGTCCGAAAATGTCGATAGAATAAATTATCAACTTGTATATATTGAATAAAGTATCTAATACAAATTGTTCTGAATTTTTATATAAAGAGGTATAGGGAGGTAGACTTTGTAGAACTGGGAAGGGCAATAGGTGGGAGGAGATGAGAAGGTGGGTAAGAGAAGAGGAAGTAAAAATGATAAAGATGCAATGTTTTTATGCGCCAATTCCCCAAGATGAATTCAATTACATAACACAAGTGCATACTAATAAAAAAGTCTAAAGAAGAAACAGAAAAAAATCAGTAAATCTATACTGCAATACACTTATTAATCTTTATTGAGTCCCCTAATTTAAAAATAAATTAGATCAATAATCTGACTTTGTCAAGTTCTAGTGGGAAAAGAGGAATTTAAAAAGCTAAAATTTGCTGGACGTAGTGGAGCATACCTGAAGTCCTAGCTACTCTACAGGAGATTGCGACAGAATGGCATAGTTTAGCTTGAGTGATCTGAGTAGACTTTGTCTCAAAATAGAAAAGAACTGGGAATGTAGTTCAGGGGTAGAGCACTGGTCTAGTATAAGAAAGGCTCGACAGAGAGTCCCTAGCACCAAAAGAAAACAACCCAGTAATATTTGTGTCATCAGAACATTGTTCAGTATTAACCACTCTGAAATACCTATTTGCATATTAAAAATGAGTGAGTTCTACAACACACTTTATGGTCATCACACAACAGTCAATTTCACTCATATATATTAGAAATTAACATGTTAGAAATCAAATTTAAAACACATTTCCAATTGCTCCAAAGAAAATCAAATATGTACATATGAATCTAATAAAATATAAGATTTTCATGTTAAAATCTATAAAACATCAATGAATGAAATCTATGAATACCTAAATGGAGAGACTTATTATGTTCATGATTCATAACACTCAATCCTTACAATTATCAATTCTCCCAAAAATTGACTATTAGATTTAATATAATTCCTAACCAAATATTAGCAAATATTTTATGGACACAGATATGTTTATCTTAAAGTTTATATGGAAACATGTGAGAACTTTAAGTTAGCTAAAACTATCTTGGAAAGAACCACGATACTTGATGTCTACAACAATCAAGACTGTGTGGTACTGGTAATATGATATACACATAAGTCATCAGAATAAACTGAGAAACTAGAAATAGATCAATATAAAAATAATTCAGTGGAGAAAAGACAGCTTTTGACACAAGTGATAATGGAACACATGGACATCTGCAAGCAAAAAGTGAGCTTCCACCCAAAATACATACTTTACGTAAGAATGAATTCTAAATACATCACAGACCTAATGTAAAACTTTAAACTATCACACTTTTAGAACAACAATATAGGAGAAATATTTTGAGACCTATAGCAAGGCAAAAAAAGTTCTTAACACCAAACCATGATCCATAAAAGCAAATTTTGCTAAATAGGACTTCAGCAAAATTGAAAAGCTTTGTTTAAAAAAAGCCTCTGAGAAGAAGATGAAAAGACAAGCTACACATAGGGGAAATATTTACAAAAATGTACAGAGGTAAAATAAACACATAAAAATTGTAAATATTATTAAAGATAAGGTAAATGCAAATTAAACCTACAATGATACATCAGTATATTCCTACTAGAATGACTAATATAAAAAATAATGACAGTAAATACTGGCAAGAACATACAAGACTGGATCTCATATATGTTGATGGAATAGAAGATAGTACAGCTGCTCTTCAAAACTACAGTGGCCTTAATAAAACTAAATATGCATTTACTATATTACTCAAAAGCTTAAATATTGGAAATTTATCCTAGAGATATGAAAATTTATATTTATTCAAAAACCTTATAGTAGCTTCACTTGTAAGTCAAAATCTTGGAACATTCCTTCAGTGAATGAGCGACTACACAAACTGTGATTATTAAGAATTATTGATCATACTAAAAAGATGCAAACTGCAGATACTTGAAACAACTTGAATGGATCTTCAGAAAGTGGAAAACAAAGCCACTCTCAAGAAATTACATATTGTATGATTCCATGTAAGATTCCTAAATGAAAAAATTATGAGTAATTTTACTGGTTGCCATGTTGTAAGGGAGGGACAGAAGAAGGTAGGTGTGATACAGTAACACTGAAGATCCTTGTGGTATTGGCACTGTTCTGCTTCTTGAAGGTGGTGGTGATGGCCACAGGAACTCACATATAAAATTGCACAGAAGTGTAACACAGGCCATGTAAAACTGGTGAAGACAGAATATGGCGACAGAGTAGTACCACTGTCAATTTCCTGGCTGTGATATTATATTATAGAAATGCATAATGTTATCATAGGGCAGAAGTGGATGGAATATATTCAGAATCCTTCAGAATTATTTGTCAAAACTGCAAGTCAATCTACAATTATTTCAAAATAAAGACTTTAAAAACTCGGTATGACTTTATTTGCATTCGCATCCCCATTTAATAAATATAAAAGCAAGACATGGAGATAATCACCAGTTTAGACTGTGTAAGACGTGGTGCAGTATCTAAGTTAAAACTCATGCAAACTCAAGTTCCAATACATAAATCAGGACAGAAGCTAACATAAAACCCACAGCACTTACAATAATGAACAACTTTTCAGAGAATCCAGTGGCTTTGCTTATGGTTTCCTGTAAATGTATAAAAATAACTTAACAGGTTCAGTTGAATTAATTCAATAGTATTAATTGCTCAAAATAGTTTATTTTAAGCCATTAGGTACTATTATGTTTTATTATGCAGCATTTTTAATACTACATCAATTAGTGAGTGGTTGAAGCCAAATGCATGAGTTTTAAATAAATGAATCTATTCACTTTATTATTTCTTTTAGTAGTATACTTTTGTCATACACAAAGATTATATTTGTTTTGGAGAATTGGTACATACACATGTCACATCTTTCTCATTTTTGCTTCTCTTCCCTCAGTTCTTGCCTTACCCTGCTTTCCCATAGGTCTACTTATTTTAAGTACTAGGATTCAGGTTTGTCCCAAGCTGTTTACTGAAACCCATTTTTGCTAAATACCTCATAGGCACTTTGGAAGTGATGACTAGGATTGAGGAATGTATACACAAATCAAACTTAACAGCCTGCCCTTGTCCTTGCAGAACTTACAGTTCTGTGAGACAAAACATCAGCACATTAAATGGAATAACAGTTATATGGTCACAAATTAACAAATCCAAACAAATATACAGTAAAGCACAAATTAAATGCATATGGCAATGTGTGGCTACCCAAGCAGGAGGACTAAACTAGACATTTTGAGACCTGAAGGCAGCATTTTAGAAAGGACAATGTTTCCTTTTTTAACAGTGAAATAAGCATCTCCAGTAATGCAACAGCTAGTTAGATTGTAAGGAAAGAAAAAATATAATAATTTGCACTTTATTTATTTTTTACTCTGCCCTCCTGATGTGAAGGTTTTTGACAAGCCACAATTTTCCTGAATATCAATTTCTTCAATCAGAGAGTAGTGAGTCGAAAATCAGAAAATTTGAATTGGAATGTCATCTTTGTCACTGACTAGCTTTGTGAACTTGAGTACATCAAACATCAGGTTCATCAGCTTCCTGTTCTGTGAAATAAAAAGGTTACTACTGAATGGTTCAGAAAATCTCCAGCAACTCATACTTAAAGTTACTGACAGTTCAGTTTGTTTTGAGGGTTTAAAAAAGTTTGATGTATTGCATATGAAAGTGCACTATAAATTGTGAAGTGCTATACAGAATATTGATATTTTCTAGTTCACGGAGAAAAATCCCAACAGCTCTCTTCCAAATTTAGCAGCCTAAAGTATAAATGGGCTTGGTCAAGGCAGTATTTTCATGGACCTTACAGTATTCTGATTAATTTTTTGCAAATATGGTTCATCCAATGAACACATATTTGTAGTGTTTCCTCTGGGGTTCACCAAGGCATCAGCAGACCTCAGACCTCTCTTTGTGTTAGAAAGGAGGAAAGTACACATCTAAATCTCCACAAACCCATCCTTTAAAAAATATCAAAAGTCCTTTTTTGAGCCATATAATTTTACAACTTGAGGACATCAAACTTTTCTCCTTTGCTGTAATGAGGCTCATAGGAAATTTCCCAAATGATGAATAACATACTAGGACATATTTTGCCTGGCCAGCTCAACTTGCATAACTTGCATGCTACACACCAACTCAGGACCTAAAGCAGGCACACAGGGAAGGCTCATTGTGCCACAGGAGAGAAGGTGCTCAACTTCCATGCAGAGATGCAGGACAGTAGCCAAGGCTTTCAGGGCGTGCCCAAGTGCTCTGGAGCTCAAAGGTGCATCCAGTGCTGAGGGGAGGAGGAGCTGGAAGAGAAGTGCGGTCCCTTTAAGACCCCATCGCTCTCCCAGCCAAAAGAGAAGGGAGGGGGTGCGGTGGGGGCGCTGCGTGATGGGAAAGTCGGCGGCTGAGCCTCACACTTTCTCCCAGTTCTTTAACTTTCTGGCCAGGGGAACAGAAATAAAGCTCTGGTGCCGATACGGAGAAAGGGTGAGTGCTTGCACTGTTGCGTGCTTGCGGACTTCCCGCCAGCGCCAAGCGGCTGGCCTCCCCGGCCAAGTGGGGAGAGGGCAGGCGGGTGGGCAGGTGGCCCCGGGCCGCCGCGCCCGCGCCTTGGCTCTACCCCTGCAGCCCAGCCAGCCGCTCCCTCGTGGTGTGAGGGCGGTGATGTTTTTTCCTCCCTCCCACTTTTGAGCACCCCCTCTCCTTAAGCTCACTCTAGTGCCCGGCCACAACCTGCGAACCCCAGACCTCTGAGGAACACCCGGGGGAGCCCTGAGCGTGTGTACACGTGACAGACGGAGACCAGCACCCAGGTCAGTGAGCAGTGCAGGCGCCTGCCTCCTCCACCTTCCTTTCAAGCCTTTGCACAGGTGGTGTGTCTTCTGATGGCTGCAGCCGCCCTTGGAAGTTCCCCTTAGGGCACCTTGAACTCTCAGACTGCTATCCCAGTCCATCCTATGATCTAGCTGCAAAGGACTGAGATTCAGGTGGTGCCCGAATGAGACAGGTTAGGGAGCTGTGGATTCAAACTCACAACTCGCCGTTCTCTGTTTGCCCTACATTTCTACTTACTCTTTGGTGCTTCCAGGGCCACTCCCAGGCAATATTTAGTGGGTTTTGCAGCCCCTTAATTAATAAGAGTGTCCACAAGTCTGTTTTGTCATTTACTGAAGCCTCTTGGACCAGTGGTTGATTAATGCCTAGTAAAGTTAAAGAAATAGTGGATGTGCAAAAAGCTCCTATATCCTCTGGACATCTGCCTCATTTTCTGGCCCAGACCACAGGGGTTGAAAGTTTGAGACACTAGGCTCAGGAAGCAAAGTGATACTGTGAGAACACAGAGCCTAGAAAGCTGCCTTCCAGTCCCTCTTAGCCTTGCCACTAACTAACCTCATTTGAGCCATCGCCCCACTCCTGCTATCCAGGCCCATTTTAAAGGTGGAATTGTGCAAAATAACATGAACTAATAGATGGCAAAGTGTTTTGCAAGGCAAATTCAAGGCATTGTCTGTCAATCATAAGCATCAATGTAGTCATTGCCTCCAAAAAAAGATACCCTGGGCTAAAAGTGCCATTTATTTTTAGTAGCAACCCAACAGGAGTTAAATGAGCTTTTCTTATTTTTTGGTAGTGTGAAGAGAGGATTTCAGCTGAGGGACAAGAGCTTGAGATACCAGTGTCTTTCTCAATGTTTGTCAGACAGAAAATTGCTACCCTAGGGGTTGTCCCACAGATGATAGTGAATGTGAGATTACAAGGCCAGTCAAGCCTCTCTGGAGGATTAAAGAGACACTGTGGGACTTGAAGAACTGACTGGCATGTATTCATCTCTTTGTATTTCTTTGGAAACCTGTTCTTAGTGGGAGCTTCTGTCACTTAATGGCCTGGATTGCCCTGTGTCTACATCCAGGGCAAGAAGCAGTTGATAACTTAGCTAAATAATGTGAATGTTTGTTTCCTGGAGATACCTTAATACTATATCTTTCCTTTCCTGTTTGACATGTTGCTTGTTCTCTTGTTAAACCTTCAGCACCCTCCTTTCCAGCTCTCACCTCCAGTGTTGGTTGCAAAGTTTTATTTTCTTTATTACTTTCTTATTAACTCCTGGATCCCACCAAAACATGTCATCGACCACATTTATAAGTAACCTGTAAAAGAGGCAGTGCAAGTTCCATGGCACAACAGTCTGTGTGAAGCAGACAGAGAGTTAATGCAGAAATAACTCCAGTTAACTGGGTCAAAGTATAATTTGAAAAATTAAGGACAGTTTGGTTCTTTGGGAGAATAAGTGTCGGATGTTTGCTGAGTAACGTTTGCTTGTTCACTGTTGCAATCCCAACAAATGTCTTAAGCTCCCGTCCCCAAAATAAAATTTTTAAAAGGATGAAAGGAAATTGAACAGTGGGGAGACCTGGGTAGGAAACTCATTTCATATTTCTTTACAGAATACAAAGGCAAGACTTCAAGATCTTATAAATCAAAAGTGAATATTTATAAAGCAATTCATTTTCTGATGTTCTCTATCCTTGCCTGGGAGGCCGCACAGATGACAGGAATGCCAAAAGAGATTAATTGCTCTCTAGTCACCAACTTTTCTATTTGCTCATAACATTTGTTGGGACCCAAGAAAAGCAAAAAATTCTAAGGGCCATTTTCTTGCCAGTTTGAGTTATGAAGCAATGCTACTGTTCACTGAATCGCCCAATCATTGTACAAGTAAAACAACCGTTAGTTCTTGCATGGGTAGAGACCTAAAAGCTAGTTTCAGAAACTCCCTGAGAGCCATATGATTGTGCTGTTAGATTTAAATGGTTAAAATCTGTGTCTTTTGTAAGTTTGGGAGATAAGCTTATTTCAGCAGGCTTAAAGAGAAGTTCACTGAGGTAGGCAGCTGTGTTAAATGGTTAATAAAAATGCCTTGCTTCAGGAGAACCAGTAGCTCTTAGGGTATGAAGATATTTTGAGTGATTGAAAGTAGACCACAAACTCACAGAGGAGACTAAGATGCCAGAACTGAGATAGTCGGAAAACTAGGAACATCAATAGCCTAGGAGAATTAGATCCTTTTGTAAAGATCGGAGATGAAATAGAGAAAGAAGGCAGATGAGTGCTGTAATTCCTGCCTGATAGCACAAATTATTCTGTATGATCGGTTTGTACTACACTCATAATTTGAGACATTGGACTTTCAATTTTCCCAGCAACTTCATAGAATATACAGTAGGAAATATGGCATCTACTTCATAGCCAAAGGAAATTAAGTTCTCCAAAATGAACCTCCTTTTGCAGTCTTTATGCTCTGTATTTAGGATGGATTCCCTAGAAAGATCTTTGAGTCCAGTTACTATCCAAGGTTAACTCCAGGTTGAATTTTGTGTTTCTAAACTATTTATATTTTTCCCCAGTCTTCTGTTGGAAGAGTCTTGTAAACTCTAAAGTCTGTGGATATCACTCATGATTAAATATGAGCTACAGCAAACTTTCTGAGTTCCAAGGCAAAGGCTTTAGATTTATATGCCTTACAATGGAAATGCTAATCTCATATTTTAAGGTGTTGCATTTGCTTTAATGGTCTTTTGGATGGTGGTTCAAGGTGAAAAAATTCTGTTTAAATATTCTTAACTTCCCTTAAAATGGCCAATTTAAAATTCCCAATTCATAAGGGACTTTATGTGAAAGAAATATGTCTGAATCATTCTAAGCAATAAACTTTTCAGGTGCCAAATTGCATTCTTTGGCTAATTACATCTGTTTTTTTTTTTTTTCAAACAAAAGTAGCCAAATTGAACAACCTTATAGATCTTATGGAGGACCAGGAAAAAAATCAATTTGAACTGATTCCTGAAGGATTAATTATAACAGTAGTCTAAAAGCTAAGATTCATTAACTTTCATTTCAGAAATTGCTTGAGGTCCTGCCTTTTGTATTTACCTTGTTTGCCAAAATAACCTTTTTGTAAATCCAGTCTCTCTTTTCTCCTCCCTTCAAATCTCTTGAGAAAATCAATTCCCTTTTAAAGGGGGATTTCAATTTTTTTTTTATTTTCTTATGACTTGCTTGTAAGAATTTAGCTTTGGTTTTAGATAGGAATGCATGTTCATTCACTTGAATTTTCTCCCACAATCTTTGCAAGACAAGAGCGACAAGTCTTTTTTCTTCTGCAAACAAACAATGCTTGCACTTATGTAAATTCTCCAGCATTTTTTTCCCTACCAAGTTGGAAGCCTAAGCATCAATGATCTCTGAGTTCCAGAGGATTTGTTTTAAGTCTTTTTCTTTTTTCCTGTTTTCTTCTCAACAGTTTGAGTACACTACACCTTGAAGGTTCTGAGTTGCATTTTGCAGTGGTCTCAATGAGGAAAAAGTGGAAAATGGGAGGCATGAAATACATCTTTTCCTTATTGTTTTTCTTTCTTTTCCTCGAAGGAAGCAAAGCAGAACAAGTAAAACGTAAGTGTGTTGAGTTTAAAAAATAACATGTTTTCTTATAATTTCTTTGAAAATATGGTTATAAACTGTAGGGATTATGATTTAGCTCAAATGTGGCCATGATATTATTCTATGACAAGAAAGCGAATGTTACTAGTTTATGCATGAGTTGATAAAAGAAAATATTGAATGGGATCATTTAAATTTGGGTATTTTATTTCTGATTGTCATGTAGATTCTATCTTATAGGACACATGACATGTTGGTTCATTTTTCTTGCTTTGTGCTAACCTGTATACATCTCATTCTAATTTATATAACTCTAGAAATGAACTGGATTTCTTTTTCCTAAATTGACTTTTCAACAATATTTTTTAGCTTAGAAAAGAATAGAAAAATTAAAGCAGTCTCTGCCTATTTCCCTATGCCAAGAGATGAAAAAGGAAGAAACTTTCACATGAATTGGATTCACATGAAAAAATCTTTTGAGGAAATTGAGATTCTAGGGACTGACAACAAATTGGATGCCATTTATTGAAAAGAATGGCCCTGAAAACCCAGGGAATATGTCTAGAAAGTCAGTAATCCCTTGCAACCCCCTCTGAGGTAGATGGCTTGCTTTAAATTTGAAGGAAAATCCACAGCTCTAGTTCCCCATTATGAGTGCATCAAAAAGAGGCACAAAGTGGAATTGGTCCAAGAGGGCCATTCTCTGCTCCACTGAACTTATTCATGAGAAGGAGCTGTGAGAAAACTCTTGGTAGGAGCCACAACAGCAGCATTTGAAGCCCATCATTTAAACATTTCTGTCCTTTATTAGCATAAATTAAATATATCAGAAGAAAGCTTGCTTATAAGAAGGATGATACCAAACCTATTTCTTTTTAAAGTGCATTTCTTTTTCACTATGCTTTCAAAGTAAAATTAGTTTTATTCTTGGAAAAAATACTGCTTTTAATTAGATTTATAAGCATGAATACTGTGTAGTGATGTCTAGTATGATTGGGACAGAAAGCAAAGTTTACTAAGGTATGGTCTCAGTAAGGAAATTTGAGATTGCCTCACCCACCTTGTATTCCTCACACTTCTTCCTTCTCCGAGTGCATCTCAGAGTTCTCCTTTTCCAGACATCTTGCTTGTAAGTGTGTGTGAAATAAAATGGATGCATGCGCATTCATTTTCAGCTCAGGTCACAGTCAGTGGGACTTGAAAATCCCTCCTTTATTAAAGAAACTTGCCTTCTGGCCTATTATTGATTGCCTCATGGATGAAGCTTGTAACTTTCGTTAGACCACCTCTTCTTCTAGGAGGCCTTTCATATTTATGAAGAAGTGACAAATATTGTCCATTAAGCATAGATGCTTGTTGATAAATCAAAGAACTATGTGAGTTAAAAATATGTATGAACCAAAACTAATATTTGTAATGTTTCTTGGTGCTTATGAATTTGTTCCAAGACACTTTAATATTCAGTAGATGTCAAAATGATTGTGTAACTGACAGCCTAAGTTACCATTTTAGAATTAAAATTTCAGCATTGGAGTTGATGATAAATCAAAACTCATGATCGTTTCATGAACACATCCCTGAGCATCACTCTGTTGAATCAGCTTACTGTTTTGGGACCACGGATTTAGCTCAGCGGCATAAGTGCTTGCTTGGCAAGTGAGAAGTTGTGAGTTTGATTCCCGAACAAAAATTTAAAAAAAAGAAAAGAAAAAGAAAAAGAAAAATTTCACTCAAACTGCCTTGAATATGTGCAAGGTCATCTCCACTAACGGGGAAATATCAAAGCATATGTGTGTAACCTTCATACACATACACACAATATGTATCTAAAGAGATATATATTGTAGCTCTAGCAGTGAGATGTTAGAAACAGTAGAAATGTAAATCCGTAAAGATTGGCTATATAAGGGATCTAATCATTACATAGTACCAAATGAACATTAAAAACACTATTGAAATTTTGATAACCCTGGAAAATGCCTATTTTAACTAATTTCTTAATCTTAGAAATTATACAATTTATATATGTTCATTTTATAAAAAGATATGAAAATATCTAAATTTTAAAAGAACATGTAACTCTCAACTCTCTGTTCCACTCTCCAAGGTAACCATTATTAGTAGCTTGCTATGTGTTTTTATAAGTGTTTCTCCGTGTTATAAAACTACACATACATTTCTTTTTTTAATTTCACAAAAATTGGAACTCATACACATTATTCTGTATCTTCTTTTTGCTCAACAATGTCTCTAGGACAATGACAGTGAACTTTTTAGAGTTTTCAGTGATAACAAACCTCTGTGGCATGCATGCCATTGATTTACCACTACTGCTTTAGGATATTTTTCCACATCAGAATGCTATACTATGGCAGTGTCGCATTATTTCTAATGCTTTTGTAGTTTCTGATTGTGTATGTGGCTTATGTAACTAGTCTGTATTTGTAGATATTTAGGTTGTATACAGTTTTTGCCATTACATTTAAGACATTAATGAATATCTTAAGACAGTAATGCAAATATTTGTGAGGAACTGCTAGTCAAATTATGTTTGGTTTTAATCTTGGCAGATACTGACAAGTTACCCCTCAAAAATATATTTATTTTAATTCTCAACATCTATGGATGATGGTCCATATATAATTTCTTTCCCGAAAGTATGATTAACATTTGTATTTTGTATATAGTTTAATATAAATCATATTTAAGTTTTGCTTTCATAGTTTTCTGTTACTGTAGCATCTTTTCAACCCAGTTTTAGCTCACTTGAATTTCTCAAGTGAATTGCCTATTTGATTTTTTGGCTTCTTGTCTTATCTGTATAAAAATATTTATTTATTAATTTTTTATTTTGGATTTGCTAGCTTTTTGTATTTCAAATACTCTCTCAGTCTGAAATTTGCTTTGAACTATGTATATGTTATATTTTTTCATATTAACTTTTAAAATTTTTATGTAGTAAGGTCTTTCATTTCTTGTATGAGTGCTTCATTTCTTACAAAGAACTTTTGTCACTGTAGATTCTCATGTTTTCTTCTGGTGCTGCCATAATTTGAGAGTTTATCCATAGTCATCTATTCCTATCCAAAATTTATAAGGTTATGTGGTATACAATAGGAAACTAATGGTTTGAAAATCTCTGAATGGTAGTTTTATGATTGCTTTTTTCAGTCCTCTTTGTGCTTCTTTTGTCTATTCCAAATTTTCCACCATTGGCAAGTTTTACTTTACAACAGGGGAAAGTAAAAGCATATCTCTGTCCAATTCTCGAGAATGCAAAATGTAGGGGTAAATGAAAAAGAGGGCTATTTTAAAGTTTTTTTTTTTTGAAAAGTGGGAAAACTTCAAGAAATGTGTGAGTGTGGAAGTAATAAATATTTGTGGATCTCTTTACTGCCTGACTTGCTTTTACTCAAGAATATCAGTTTTTTTTTTTAAATCTTTCTAGGATTTATTAGAATATAAAATTCTAAGTCAATGGGGTGTTGTTCGGTAGTCTGCTTGTGTTCCTATTTGGGGCATCAGGCTGGAATGTCATTACGGTGAAAGACGCTCTCAACTGATGTAGAAATCTGAAGATGTCTGGAAAAAGTACTTCATTTGTGGGAAAGCTCTTTTCAGAAAGACGTGAAAGTTTGTGCTGTTACTTGCTGCTAGCTAATTAGCCATAGTTACAGTTGCTCTTATAGGAGGGAAGACTGGCTCAAGGGACAAAACAATACAGATTGTTCATTGCAGTGGATGAATGATCCATTTGTTGCCTATGTAAAAATTTGTTACTGTTGAGCATCAGCATAATTTGAGGATTTATAGGAAAGAATCCTTCTGTAACTTCATTATGCTTTGTTATTAAGCTTGTAATCAAGGAGGTCAGGAAGTTCTTTTGAAATTTACAGCATAATGTTCATGCAAATATGGGCCAAATGGACAGAGAATTTGTGAGGGTGAAGAACTGAGTCATTAAGGCTACTCTGTTATGTGCTTCTGATGAGAGAGCCTGTATCAAATCTGGCAAAGGTTGTGAAGAGAGAAATTGTTCATGTATCTCAAGGAATCCATTCCTGCCTTACAAAATGAGTTAACTGACCTTCAAGTACCCAGATTCTCACTCATTTTTTTCTTGAGAAGAAAAGCTTCCAATATTTGTATTTGGATTAAAGTGGGCCTCTGAAATTCTTAGGAAAGGCAAGCCATCAAAAGCTTGAAGGGAAGGAAGAAGATACTTTTTGAGATGTAAGGCATGCTGCCAGAGAGAGTCACACAGAACCTGTCCATTGTGACAAAAGGAAACATGTACTTTATCCTTCTTTTCTTATTGTTTTTCAATAAAATGAAAACGGAACTTTGTGAACCAGAAGAAGGGATTTAAAAAGAGGTGATGGGGATGGGGATGGGGATGGGAGGGAAAAAAGAGGACTCAACTTATATCATGTACTGATACAAATTCCCTATAATGAATGTAATCATTATGTATACCTAAATTGTTCCAATAAACCTACATAGAATTTGAAAAACAAAAAGAAACATGCAAGAGAGTAGGCCATATATTAGATGTTTTAAGTAAGTGGGTGTAAAATAAAGAATATCTTAAAATTAGACCTTGCTGTTTTTCAAAGTATATCCTTAACACATTTTTAGGGAGGGTGACATGCAAAAACTTTGTCATGGGTGCCTGAAGTTAACCTAGATTCTGTGCCCAGCTCCATGACTGCATTATGCATATTTGGAATGTTATTTACCTATTCTCCATTAGTTTTTGTATCAGCAGAGTGGGAGAAATAATAGCATGGTGTTCATCACCATGGTCATTTGAAGAATAAATGACACTGTACACCAGGTACTGTTGCACAATGGCTGGTCTATGGTTAACTTTTAATGAATGGTACCTATTAGAACAACTGACTCCTAAGCCAAATGATGTTATCTTTTTACTTGTAAGATGAAAACCTGAAACCCAGTAAGGTCAAATGGTCTTTGTGTAAGAACAGAGTGCAAATCCCAGCCAGAGTCAG